GTCCTACCTTTAGTTTACAGGCAGCAGGATCTTGATGCTGAACCTACATTCCATTCTAAAGCCCAGTTCGGAAAGGGACCCCCAAACCATGAACCCTGAATCCTCAACCCGTTGCAAACACAACTTCGGAAAGGGACCCCTGAACCCTAAACCCTGGACCCCATTGTTAAGACAATTTGGAAAGAGACCCTTAAACCCTAAACCCCATTGCGAAGACAACCTCGGAGATGGACCCCTACACCCCTAACCGCACAACCTTCCAAAGGAGACCTTTACCCCCAGAACCCTAAACCGCATTGCGAAGACAACTTCGGACCCAAACCCGAAACCTTTTGTGAGCAGGGATTGCAATTCAGACACGAAGCCCTAAACCCTGAGACCCTAAACCCCAGGAAGGTGCCTGGAGTTGCTCCGTGACGCCCGCAGCCCGGAAATCTTCGGCCTTGAAATCCTTCAGCGGGACGAGCATACGTTAGGGGTCTTAATAATTAGACTAGGGCTCCTTCTTAGGGGATATAGCATAGGGCTCCTTTTAAAGAGATACTATATGGGTTCCTTCAGAAAGGCTTTGAATGGTTATCATGATGGTTACGATAAGGGTCCTGTAATGTGTGGGCCTTACAGTAAGAATTAGAATAGGCTTAACTCAAAGGTGTCCTTTACAAGGTATTCTGGGCTTCTCACATATCAGATAGGGTTTTGGGTATGTCACGGTATAACTATAATGAAGGAGCCCTTAAGGAATCATATGGGGAATTATTTAGGCTTCTACAGTAAGGCATTTTGGGGGCTTTCGGAGGATGTCTCCAGGGGTCTTACACGGGGTTCACACGCGGTTTACGTATGTCTCTACACATCCTTTTACTCTCGCCACCCCATCTCCTCCTGACGACTATGTCTTTCGGTGCTCACACTGGGACGATCCAGGCGAGCATTTTCGGGTTTAGGCCTCTTAAGCAGAGCCTCCGACTCCGCTTTTGGGGCAAGCATGTCTGACACACCTCCTCGATTGTGGCAACTGAATAATGCGGTTCAAGAGTTTAAAAGATTCATGCAGATGTTGTTGGGTATCTTCAATCAGTCTAGGGAGAAAAAAGTCTAAGTTTAGAGCCGAACCCTGGAACTCTAAAACCTGCGGGGCTTACAGGATTTCGGGCTCCTGATGCTCTGTGACTCCGCTGATTAACCGCAGCTTCTGTCGACTTTCGGATTCAGGGCTACTGGTCTTGAGGGTTTGCAAGGCTTAGGTTTAGCATGACCCTGGACGCTCGTACTCTGTTCCATTCTCCAGTGTGGTCTCTAAGCAAAGGCGTGCCACCTATAAGGTGCAGATGCCGTAGCGAGCCCAGCCATAAGCCTGTATGTATGACTCCTAGAACCACCTTCCCCAAGATATCTAAACTTAGCCTTCTCTCCTGAACTTGCTCTGAAATGCCCTTGCCCCAAGACCTCCTAAATCTCCAGCCCGAAAAGCCTTAAAACCTCCAACTCACCCCAAGTCCAGTTCTAGGCCCCCCCAAGCCACACTTCGCGTCCTGGGCAGTGAAACCGGCATCGCGGAGGCTCTGGGCGTGGTAGCGTGCCTCGGCTCCCCATGCTTCCTCCATGCCTGCATTGCTGTCTCTTAGGAGGTCTGAGATTCAAGGCTTCGGGCTTCGAGGTCCTATGTACGGGTTAGGCACTGATTCTTTGGCGGCTGCTCAACTCCGCGGAGCTCCCGAACATGACTGCAACCCCACGCCGACAACTCTAAGATCCGAATGCCAAGCACCGTTTAAGGCTTCAAAGCCATAAACCCTCAAAAAAACGGAGCCTCAAACTCAAACCATTACAGCCAGATGATGAAACCGCCTAGAGCCCTCTGGCACTACTTTCGAAAAGCCCTGCGCCACGAGGCCGCAACAAACTCGGCAGCGGAAACGCCCGCAGCTTTCAGCTCGGCTATGGTGAAGCCGCAGTTGAGCTCCGGCAGGGTGTACCCCTCAGCCCTGAGCTCCTCGGGGTTTAGGGCCGGACATGGTCTCATGTTAATTACGCGAGTGTGACAAAGGCAGGTCCCTAATGTCATGCAGAATCAAGTCCGAAATGCACTAGGATAAGGACAACCATTGTCCCACGGCAGCATGAGAGGCATTCCAGGACAAGCGCGGATTGCACCCAGAGCCTACAGAAAGTTACGCTTTCGAGCTTCTGGTCAGCCGCGAGCCTTTTTTGCACAAGGGACTGCCTCCACTGCTGCCTTTGCAGCCGTAAATCCTAAACCAACTTAGGGACCTTAATGACTAGAAGAGCGTGTTTGGGTCTACTATGGCATCTAGTAATACGTCCGGCCACAAGTCAAGTCTCTAGGCCTTCGGGGAGAACTCCCAAGCTGCTCTATGATGGTCCTAAACAACTCAAGCCTATCCATAGGTTAAGGCGCTTCAACCGTGGCCGGAGTTCATGCAGCCACCGTAAGGCACAGTCATCCCTGAGAGAATCCAAAGCCATACAACAACCCCGACCGTGCCGGGGTTCCTGGGCGGAGAACGCAGCCGACTTCAGTGGTGGGACTCCCATGCCAGCCAGCTTCAGCTGCTGCACTGTAAACCTTAGTTTTGGGCTTCACCCTTATAGGGTCGGACAGGCAGAGCCATAAGATAGGGACCGAAATCATTGGAAATAGGGCCTTTGAAGGAACATATACATGACCGTAGAGGGACGATAAGGGGATGCCATCAGCAATTATCCTAAGTCCTACATTAATTCGAGACTTGGGTTTTGTAGTAGGTTTGAAGGCCACTGCGGCATTTTGTTTGGGAATATATATATATATATAATAAATGGTAATTCGGCACTTGCACCCTTCTCAGGGTTAGGGTTGACGGATGTTGATGGTGTTGCAGGGTTCGTCTAAGCTTCCAGCTTAAGCTTTCAGCAGCCCTGCAACCACCCTCAACATCCCTGAATAGGGCTTTCGTGATTTTAGGCTCTAGTTAGTAGGGTTAGGGCGTTCCCGAATCATATAATCTGGGCCTTCATGGTTTTCCAGGTTTAGTTTTTAAAGGGCTGTCTACAGAGATCCGCATGAACGCCATCATCCATGACAAAAAAAGCAGGCAACAAAGAACTCAACAACGCTCCCACTTTACTTTCCGCATCTCCAAATAGAAAAGCACATCCTAAGCGAAGGTTCTTCCTGGGCTTTTCGCAAAATTCACCTCGCTGCATGCCCGTAAAGCTGCGCCCAGACTGGATTTCTGCAAGCCGCTCGCCAGGCAATCTACACCAGTACAGAGCCAGCACAACTTATGGTAGCTTTCCCTATGCGAAAATCAGGTGCAGATGGACATGCTTCCACACTCTCCCAGCCAACGAACTGCAACACCCAAACCGTGGACGGTCCCTACTAACGCGTGCTCAACCCCAAACTCTAAACCCCAAACCCCTTTCTTGAACCCAGGCTCTATGCCATCATCAGCTGGGAATCAGCAGCTAACGTGACTACTGCATGTCAGCAAACCGTCGCAACCACTCCTCTCCTAAACCCTAAACCCTAATTCAACCCTTAACCCCGAAGCGGCCAAGAAGCCCTGCATCGAGGAGATGCCTCAGCTCCCAAATATCGGTGCCAGGGCTCGAGGCCGCCCGGGCCTTGGAACCTTTCACGCCTCAGGTGGGCTTCAGCATTCACAACTAGACAAGCAGGTGAGCCTCAGGTGGGTTTAGGGGTTTAGGGGTTCAGGGTTTAGAGGTTTAGGGGTTTAGGGTTTAGGGGTTTACGGTTTAGGGGTTTAGCGGTTTAGGGGTTTAGGAGTTTCGGGTTTAGGGTTTTAGGGTTTAGGGTTGTTCTGGTTGCAGTGTTCGCGCTCGTTATTTGATTCACTATAGTACTGGCACTGCTCGCGTGGTTCGTAGCATGACCATTTGTATTCGCACCCTGCTCTTGTTGCTACTGGACTGGTCTTGTAATTGCAGTAATGGCTGTACAAGCAAGTGGTGTAAACCCTTGGCACTGCCTTTCATCGTGTAACCTTTAGTATTTCTAATATAAACACTAGGGGTTGTCCGGCTTGTCCCATGATTCTGATTCGTGCCAATGCCGCGATGTTACTAAATACCACCACCACTAACATCTTCGTACCAAGGCTATCTATCATCAGTCTTGCCATCTTATGCTGCGCTCTGACTTTGCCTACGAGGTTGCAGGGCTTGGGCCGCGAGCTGAAGACGCGCCCTGACTTAGCAAGACGAGGCCGACACTTAATCATGGAGGGTCTAGAGGTTGGGTTGTATCTTTCAGGGGCCAGGGTTCAGGGCTCAAAGAATGCAGATAGTCTGTGAGTGTGTGTGTGTGTGCGTGTGTGTGCATGTGTGTGTGTGTGTCAAAACTAGCGAGCTGAGCTTGAGCCAATGAGGCCCGGAACAGCACATGACATGAAGCCTGCCTGGAAAGCAACAGATACAGCAAGTCGCTCAAACCCCCAAACCCCTCTTAATTCTGCAAAGTTTGTGGGGCCTGCCACTACTAGTCCTTTAACATCGCATCGTCGTTTCAGAACACTGTTTTGGAAGGCCGAGCTCGTCCAAGGAGCGTCCATGGGGCGGACTGGACGGCTGCGAGTCACCCGTCCGGCTCGGACCCCAGCGCAGCGCCACGAGGTCCCGCGTGAAGCCGGCCTTTTACAGTAGAAGCCAGAAAGTTGGAACATCATTATCCCCATGCCCTTAAAGGTAAAGTATAGAGGATCCTAGCACTAATCCTCCTAAATCCATGTTCCAACTTTCTGGCTTCTACTGTAAGGTTTTGGGCTCTCAGGGGCTTGGGAGTCTGATAAGGGGTTAGGGCCTGGGCAGGGTGTAGGCATGAAGTAGCTGTGATCCCGATTACCGAGCATCATATCAGGAACAACAAGTCAAGATTGACAGACAGCACTTCAATAAAGTGCTGGTCCACACCCTTCCATGCAGCAAGATGAAATTACTTTGACCTAAACCCTACACCCTAAACCCGTAAAGCTTCAAGACTGGAGGGGCAGTTCGGAGTATTCAGCACGCTTCGGGCTGGCGAGGCGTGCAACCTCTTCGAAGGTGGTCGCCCCGAAACCATCGCGGAGAAGTTTGGCCAGCAACCTGTCATCCGGTCCCCTACGAGCCCCCGTTCCCCAACATGAGGAAGGAATCTTGCCAACAGGGTTGCTACGCACTATAATCACAATCAATTTGGATTCCTGAGGAACAGCCAATTTCAGCGTTTCTGAATTAAAACTGTGACGCGCGACGGTGGGACACGAAGCACTTCGCGCTTAAAAGAGAAGCTCATATAATATAGCCTGGCTAACGTTGCGTTCACCGGCTTCACGCTGATAAGTATGCAGGCTAGACTCGCCACGGGCGACGTTACAAGACTAGCTGCTGGAGTGTAGTGACCTGACTACGCCTACAGTCCGATGGAACGTTACAAAACAATTGCAGGGAAGATCCAGACAACTGACAACCAGGATCTGCATCAGCACGGTTACTAGACACGCACTAGACACGCATCTTCAAGTCAACACAGCTAAACCCTGGACGCTCTTCCCTGCAAACTAACCTCAAGAATGATCCATGTGACCGCTGGAGGATCGATTCCACGCCGTCCTTCTTAGCGGCACGGCCTGCGGTGATCCGCTCAAGGCAGGATTTGGGAAGTATGAGGTATTTGACGTGTCAGAGCTGAGCCGTTGAGGGCCTTACGTTACGGTTCTTGCTGTACTGTGCCCCCCAATTTCGAGTACTGATGTAGAAGCGGACCGACACCAAGGGAACATGGCATAGTTCGGACGGACGACGAGATTCACTGGGACATTGTAGCAGCACGAACACCAACGCCTGTGTGTATGTTTTGAAAAATTGTCTTACCTTAAACCCTTCTAGAACGAAAGCCTGGTGCCTAAACCCTGAACCCTAAAGCGGGGCGCGTTTGTGTCCAGTGTCCTTTATTTACTTGCGATCCGTTTGTGCATGTTGTAGCTGTAGCTGTAGCAGTAACAGTATCAGTAGCAGCAGTAGCAGTAGGAGAAGTACAAATAGAAGTAGAAGTGCAAGTAGTAGTAGTAGTCGTCGTCGTCGTAGTAGTAGTAGTAGTAGTAGTGTAGCAGCAGCAGCAGCAGCAGCAGTACGTAGTCGTCGTAGTGGTGTAGCAGTTAAAGCAGCAATAGTAGTAACAGCAGCAGAAGCAGTAGTGCTGGTGCTGGAGGTATTATCAGTAGCAATGCACATGCACAAGTACGGCACGCATATACACACCGACATACATGTACATACATCCATGCATGCATGCATGCATACACACATACATCGTATGTGCATGTATGTAACCTTTGTATCTATGTATGTTTACACATGTGTACGCACTCGCATGCTTGTATATACCCACTCGCACGAACACACAGACAGCCATGTGTATCTGGATAACAAGTGTAAACCAAAGAATTACACACATAAACAAAACACAAATAAGCAAGTACACAGATGCACACTCACACACGCACACACACACACACACACTTTTATGTGTAAGTGTGTGTGTGTGTGTGTGTCTGTGTGTCAATGTATACGCACAAATAAGCATGCATGTGTGTATATACATATGACTGTATATACATATATATATATATATATGTATGTATGTATGTATGTATGTATGTAGGGTTTCGGATCGAGTGTTCCGATAGCGGGACGCATAGCCGGTGACCCCGTGTGTCTACTGACACGACGCCATTCCGGGCGGTGGAAGGCCGCACTCCCCAGCTTGGCACAGGCGGCTTCGGGCTGCAAGGTCAAGGGCGAGGAAGCGAATAGTCGCGGCAAGATCCAAAGGTCTGCCTCTACCTGCTAAGGACAGGGCACTCTTAGAAGTGCACCACGCAAGACCAGTCTACGCCGACTACCTCCGCCCTATGGGACGCAAGAACCAATGGACCGAAGAAGAATGGCAAGCCTGGCGGTCATCCTCAGCTCAATATGGAGGGTGGCACAAGGCCAAGGGCAAGAACAAGGAGGCTGCCCATGCTCCATCGAACCCCCGTGGACCGAAAGAAGCGGTGCGAGAGCCCAAGCGGCCTACCTTCCCCTCCTTCGAGATGATGGATGCAAGCAGCTCCAGTGCACCGCAGAGGCCCATGGCTCCGACACGAGTGGCTATGGAGATCGACGAGGAGCCGGTGACGACGAGTCAAATGGCCCGTGGAGTTCAGCGATTGCTGAATGGGCTGCGAAAGTCAGAGGGCAAAGCTCGACGTCTGGAAGAGGAGAAGGAGGCCCTCCTGGGCAAGTGGGCTGCATTCAAGGCAGAACTGCAGCAGAGCTTCGTCAAGGAGAAGGCGAAGTTCAACGAGCGCATGACCAAGCTGGGGCAAGACTTGATCGAGGCGGAGCAGGCCCAGGAAGAGGCCCTTGCAGGGCTTCAGTTGGCCATCGCGGAGCCCCAGAGTGTCCTCAAGCCGAAGGTCAAGGTTCCGGAGGACAAGGAGGCGCTGGACGAGCTCGAGAACCTCCTCAAATCCCCGGAGAAGCGACCGCAGCAGAGCCTGGCGGATATCTTGGCGGATGCTTTGAACGGTGCGACCAGCTCCGAGAATACGAGGCGGCAGCTGCTACAGGTCATCTCTGCGAGGAGATCGCAAGCCAGTGCAGTCACCACACCGCCGCGAAGGACACGTGGTACTGCCGCCAGAACCCCGGAGACCAAGGACCATGCCCCAGCAAGACGCCCAGAGGAGATGGATGCATCGTACCAAGGGGACACGGAAGAGAAGGTGGAGGTGCCTTTGCCAAGGTCCCCGACATGTACAACCAATGCCCCGACCCCGGAAGGACTGCGACGATCCAAATCCAGGACGGCTACACGCATCCCGGTCAAGATGCTTGGCAGACAGGCCCAGAAGACCCCCCATGCAGGACCCGGTCTTGCCGAGAAGTTGGAGGCGAAGAGAGAAGCCGAGCTCGAGGCCTTGGCCCACGTCCTATCCTCCGACGAAGACCTCCAGATCGGGGACCTTGTGGGTGGCGGTGCTGGAGCAAATGGAGAAGAGCACGTGGAGTCATGAGTACTACCACCGATGCCCAAGAAGGACGCAGCATCAGCTTTTTCGGCCGGTCTGATGCTGTGTGCCCAACTATGAGGCAGGATGGAAGGGACAGCTTTCTTGGGATACAAGAAGTTGTCATACCGGACTGCACGAACAATTTTGACGCTTTCGTCAACATTGGAACCTCTTCGAGACCCAGGGATAGTTCTTGCCCTTTGAGCTATGATGCTGAGGTCGATGACGATAGCAGAGAGACCAGGAGGTACCTGGACAACCTGAACAATTTTGATGATGTCACCAGCATCGAAGCCTCTTCGCGACCGAGGGACATTCTGGACCCCATGAGACGAGGCAGTGAGGTTGATGACGTGAGGAAAGACTACCAGGAGAATGAACGACCCCTTGGTAAGGGTGAGGATTATGTTGTCTCGACCGGGCACGGCCCTTCGGGAGGCCACGACCGCGGGGGCGAGACCGAGAACATGAACGACATCCCCCTGACTATCATCGACCTCCTTGCAGGTGGGGCGGCAATCCTTACAGATTGGTGCAGCGATATGGCGGATATCAGTGCTGGCTGGGGACTAACTCTCTTTGGCCTCAACCTGGTTGCCCTTGCAGCATTCTGTATGAGACCAGCAGTACCGGCCAAGGTGCGCAAAAGAATGACCTTCACACAGCCCAAGCTATGTTTGGTATGGGGCCTGCTGGGAACACTGGGGCCAACAAGCCTCGCGGTTCGCAGTCCCCCGGAAAGCGGTTACCCCAGCCCGCCCAGAGCACCTCCTCTACCACGTTCGGTGGCAGACCTGACGTATGAGGAACAAATGGCCGAGAACTGGGCTCGATGGATCCATGACCTACCGTTGGAGCATGGAGCCGGTGAAGTGCGACTACCTAACTACGCCATCCCGGTGGCTGAAACCTTCCCGGACCCCATGGAGATGGACATCGCCCGAGCTCATGTGGTCTGTTGGGTGGCCACCCCCTATCACGAGGTGGAAGTCATTGATGTTGAGATGCTTTTCCCGATGACCCAAGAACGGCTTCGACACGCGGTGGCCGAGACGACTCAGCACATCCCGGACTACGCCTCAGAGTACATACCATGCACACCGCAAATAGGTGATGGTTTTGCGAGCTTTGTCGCGGTGCCACCATGGATGAGGTCAACGGAGAGGGTCGTCCAGGTGATTGATGCAAGCGACATTGGAGGGGGGATCTTCGCTTCCTATGTCGAAGGCCCCATCACGAGACAGAATGTCCTCATGACCATGGTGGAGGGATGGCCGGAAGGTATGCAGGCCTTTGCATATGGAAGCGAGAGGCCCATGCGAAGCGGTCAAACCTACGACCCGGTGCGGGGAGGAGTCATCAAGATCATGCGCCCGGGTGCGCGACCCCGTTGGCCGGATGACCTCCAATCACGGCTCGATAACCCGCAGCTTTGGAATCCAGGGGCCAATGTACCGGGACCTTTGGACGGCCTCCACACCGTATACCAGTCTGCAGATGATCAAGTCATTGAGGAGATCAGCTCGGACGATGAAAGACCATTGGAGGTGTCTGCGGAGGACGCCCTTCAGTATGAACATGGCGATGTCTGGGTGGTGGTTCCGGAGGAACGGATTCCACGGCTTTCGCACCTGGGACGCCGTGTGTGGGGGCAGGTCGCCGTCATGGACGGAGTCGAGCAAAGGGACAGAGACGCCCCTGTCATCTTCAACGACCTACGCGGTTTGGGGCTGTTCCCCCAGTGGACACAAGTTGAAGGTACAGTGTTCCAGCCTACGACCTACTACGAGTCCCTTCAGATGCCTGATCTTGAGGGATGGACTCTCATGGTACAGGGAGGAGATCCGAGGGACGATGGGCACAACATCGACATCCATGGTGGAGAGGTCCTCGTCTACTACCTGGAACAGCTGAGGGAGACACCGGAGGAGACCGACGACATGGACGATGACGACGATGATAGCTCTAGTTCCAGTTCCTCGGCCACTCACGATGCACTTCCAGGATCCAGTGAGCTCACCGAGCCCAGCTCAGGAGAGGAACCCATCAACTTTCCCCGCGGCCCTCCTCCCCCACGCCCTGTCAATGAGCCAGACAGAAGCAGGTCGCCCCGACGCAACCAGGAGGGCGTGGACAGTAGTGAGCAAGGAGCCGAGCTGCGGATACAAGATTTTGTCCATCCCCCAGTCTACGACCTGACCACGACTACATTGCCTTTTCCCCACACAAGTGCAGACGTGTGGTCGATGTCCAAACCATGGCCGGGGGAGTGGATGACCTGGAACCTTGAACCGGTTCCACTGCATGATGCAGCAGTGCAGGCCCTCCGCGAGACCCAACCAGTACAGACATTGCTGACCAGCCGATGTGAAGGCCAGCCGCAAATCCATGTCTATACGGATGGGTCGGCGAATGACAAACAGAGGACAAGCGGATATGCCGTTGTTATCCTCCTAAAATGGGGCACGGCTATTGCCCTCTTCGGCATCATCGGTGGCCAATTGCTTGGCAACGAAAAGACGCCGTGGCCGTTGGCGGGTCCAGCGGCTTTGACGGCCGAGCAGGTCGCGGTTGCGGCTGCTTTACTATGGGTGGTGCAAGCGAGGACAATGCTCCCCCACATCGACTGCCGATTGTATGTGGACTGCCTGGCGGCAGGTCGAGCAGCCGATGGTAGCTGGGCCCCTGTTGACGCTCTATCTGTTCAGATTCATAATCTAGAGCTGGCCATCCGTGCAACTGCTGGGGTCAACATCAGCATCGAGCATGTAAAAGGACATGCCGGCCACGGATGGAATGAACTGGCAGATGGAGTGGCCAAAAGCGCGTCAAAGGGAGGTGCGACTTTCGCGGAGCCGCCTGTGGAGGCGTGCCGCACCTTGCTGGATTCCAACTTGGACTGGCTGGGTTTCGAATTCGCCAACAGACCGACAGCAGCGCTCAACATCCACAATCGAGCTCTGTGTTGGTCTGAAACCAATCCTGCTACGGGCCAACTACGACCCGAGCACCTCATACCGATTGAGGACAACCCGAATGGCGCGCCAAATGGGCGTGGAAGTTCCTTCAGGATCAAAGCATGCACCATGAATGTCCAAGGCCTGGGCGGTAATTTCAGATATATGGAGGAACAATTCGAGCACGCCGCCTATGGGGTCATCATGCTGCAGGAAACCAAGATGCCAGGAGGGCAGTGCCAAAGCAAACGATACATTCGTCTGTCGTCTGACTCCCAGAGACATTGGGGGACAGCGATCTGGCTCAGTAAGACCCAGGGGCTCCTCGATTTCGAGGGACAGACTGTTCGGCCGGATGAGGCCAACATCACGACGGTATGTTCTACCCCACGCCTTCTGGCGATTGTGGTCACGATTGGCCAGGCCAAGATGGCCCTGCTATCAGGACACTGCCCCCACAGCACCAAACCAGGTGAGAGAGATGAGTTCTTGAAACTCTTTGCCTGCACCCTGACAAAGATCAAGCACGTCCAGTTGATTGTCTGTGGTGTTGACTTGAACGGGCGGATTCCTACTGAGTACCCTCAGGTCAGTGGGAGTCTAGATTTCCAAGAAGCAGACTGCACGGGTGAAAAAATGGCACAGGTCTTGCAGGACAATGGAATGTGGGTACCATCCATGTATGCGAACATCCATGTGGGTGACTCCGCGACCTACACCCACCATACCGGAGTCGAAAGCCGCATCGACTACCTGATGGTTGGTGGAGCTGCATGGGTCCGTTCTGCAAGAAGCCATGTCGACGCAACTATCGACAATGGCAGCCCAAATGAGGATCATAGGGCAGTGGCCATTGAGCTGACCGGGGACATGGCTACAGGCCAACTGAGAGGACGACTGCGGCGACCTCGCTATGATTTGGAGAAGCTCAACACAGTCCACGGAAAGGAAATTGTCAGTGAGGCGTGCAGGAATTTCCGGCAGCCCCACTGGTGCACCCACCCAGATGACCATTGCCGACAAGTTGAGCAACACCTGCGTACCACCCTGGAACAGCATTTCCCTCGACCACTACAGTATGGAAGAGCGACCTACATCCCGGAGGTGGTATGGGCTCTACGACAACAAAAGAATCAGCTTCGATGGCGAACCCGAGACCGCCGTAGCATGTGGAAGACCTTGTTATGTGAGGCGATGAGACGGTGGCGCTCCGGAAGAACCCCAGAGGTCGCGCACAGCATCAATAAGCAGATTCTTCTCTATGAAGTGATGGCGGGGGCCATCAAAGTGGTCACCTACCGAATTCGTCGACTCGTGGCCGATGCGAAGGACAAGTTCCTTCGTGGGCTGGTTGCGAACGGACCGAGTGATGTAGCTGCCTTGCTGCAGCGTGCCAAGCAAGCAGGGCTGGGCACAAAGTCCCGGAAAATGGTGGGTAGAGCCCTGCCAAAGCTTCTCGACCCGACCACTGGTCGCGAGGCAGAATGCATGGCGGACCGCGACCAAATATGGCTACAATTCTTCGGGGAACAGGAGGCCGGCAACCTCTTGACTACCGAACAGTTCCTGCGAGAAACAGGGAACTCCCAGGACGAGATTCGGGACGATTGGGAATGGAAGCACCTGCCCAGCGTCAGGGAGATTGAGCAAGTCCTCAGGACCACGGCCAAAAACAAATGTGCAGGGCTCGATGGAATACCAAGCGACCTGCTCCGATGCAGCCCCAGCGACTTCGCGACCATGATCCAGCCGCTCTACCTCAAAAGCCTACTACGAGGCAGGCAACCGATACAATGGCGTGGGGGCGTCTTGTACGAGGCGTACAAAGGTGCCGGTGCCCAATGTGCAACTGACAGCCATCGTAGCCTCTACATATCGAGTTTCGTCGGCAAGGCCATGCACCGAACAATGAGGGCAAAGATTCACTCGCAATTGGATGAGTTCTTGCATCCATTGCATTGTGGCAGCCGACAGGGTATGCCAGTCCTGTTTCCTTCATTATTCATTGTTGAACACTTGCGACGATGCCTCCAACAAGGCTTGTCCACGGCTGTGATCTATGTTGACACAAAGGCCGCCTACTACAGGCTGGTGAGGCAGCTCGCCACGGGAGACCTGAAGATTGACAACAATGTGGAGAAACTTTTCCATCGATTCGGTCTTGATGGATCTGACGTCGCAGAGCTTCGTGATCTCATTCTGGAGGGCGGAATGCTACAGATGGCGGAAATTGACGGACCCATTCGAGCAGCCGTTCGCGATTTTCTGCGGGATTCGTGGTTCACATCACGATATACAGATGGGACGGTTCTCTGCCGCTCGACTGCGGGCTCACGCCCAGGAGCCTCCTGGGCGGACACGGTATTTGCGGTGATCTATGCCCGCATCCTGTACCGTGTGCATGAGGTCATGGAAGGGGAAAACATCAATTTCTCTTTGCCATGGGAGCCTGAACAAGGACCTTTTGCAAAAGACCCTGCAGAGCACTGGCAGCCCGCGTTTGACACCACGTGGGCCGACGACAGTGCATACGCCATCCAGGCGGAGGTGCCGAGTGAATTGATCGCAAGAACAAAACGAGTGGGCTCCTTGATCATTTCGGCGTTCCGCTCGCATGGCTTGGACCCGAACCTCAAAAGACACAAGACCAGTGTGATGGTCAAGGTCCGTGGACAAGGAGCTAAAAAGACCCGGAGGGACACCTTTGAGTCGGGCAAGCCGGAATTGTTCCTCGACGACATCCGGGAAAGCCTACAGGTGGTTCCCTCATACAAGCATCTCGGATGTGTGGTCGACTTGGAGGCAAATTTGCATCTGGAAGTTAGACACCGAACAGCTTTGGCGTCGGCTGCCTACGACCAGGCAAAGGATCTCCTTTTGCAGAACAGAGATCTGACCCTGCAGACGAGGTCTGCCCTGTTCCAGACTGCAGTCGTGGCCACCTACCACAATTTGGCGGTGTGGATAGCTAAGGGCACACACTGGGACAAGATGGAGGATGCCTTCTCCCGACTTGTCCGAAGGCTCCTCTGTAGAGATATCCCTGGCTCCGACCTCTTCCGTGTGCCGCTACAGTTGGCGCACTGGGCTACCGGATGCTGGACGTTGGGCATGTTTGCACGGAGAAGTAGACTATCCGCCCTGATATCCCTGGCAAGACGTGGCCCCCCAATTCTGTGGGCAATGCTACAGAATGAGGCAGAGTGGTGCCAGCAGGTGACTCATGACCTTGAGTGGCTCGTTCAAGGCGAGAGTGACAAGTGGCCCAGTGTGGTCGCGGCTGCTTGGCCACAGTGGTGGCATGTCCTACGTGACCAGCCCCAGGCTGTCAAACGGCGGGCAAAGAGACAGCAACACCGAGACTTTGAGCTCTACAAACAGGCTGCTGCTGTTGATGTCTGCCAATGGTACATGTACCGACAGCTGCCAACGATCGACGCCCCTGATCAATTACCGTCTTTGTGGACGTGCGGCATTTGCGACAAATCCTTTGGAAAGAAATCGGCCTTGAGTGTGCACTTCTTCAGCACACACGGCAGACGAGCGGAGTACCGAGCATTTCTCAAAGGGTCGATATGCCAGAGCTGCCACAAGGACTTCAGAACCCCGGGCAGATTGGAGGATCACCTACGAGCCAACAAAAAGTGCGTGCGAGCACTTAAGCGATCCCAGGTGCCCTCCGAGACTGTGCCGCCTGGATATGGCAGCAGAGGGCGAAGGAAGCAGGAAGCTGATGCCTACACGCCGGCTCCGCCGACGGCTGGAGATGTGGTTGTCACGGACGAGTCTGAAGAGGACTGGAACCAGTGGCAGAGGCGACTCCATGAGGATATCTGCGACACCCTGCTTCGGCCATTTTCGCCGAATGAGATTGGGGCGACCATCGAAAGACAGGTGCGACGGCATCCGCTCTACTACAACGAGATCCGCGAAGTCTTGCTGTACATCATCGAGGAGACCGAAGTGGTGTTCGCGGACAAGGACCTCGACCAGTGGAGCGACCAGCAGTTTGTTGGGATGAGGGATGGCCTACAGCGCCTTGCCAAAGATGGAGTACAAGGAACTTCGAAGACTCAGCGCGAGTCTCAAATCCTGCAATCGATGGCAGAGTTCCGAAGAACAGCCGATTCTTTCGATTGGGACGCCGCAGTCAAGCGGCAGCAGGGAGACAACGGGACCCAGAGCACACCAGTGTATAGCATCCCTGATGACTGGGAAACTGCGTGGAAACAGGGTTGTAGTGGTGTGCTTAACGCAGTCGTGGTCAAAGATCCCCTGCTTCTACTCCCTCAGGAACTACGGGCGGCGTGGCAAGATTTCCAAGACGGAAAACGGCCGATTGTACATGGGCCCCCGAGTTTCTGGAGACACTCCCTGGCAAAGCCTTTTCTGCCATTCAGGGAGAAGTGCAACTAAATTCGGCAGCGGACACCTCTGAAAGCACCCAAATACAAAAATGTATGTATGTATGCGTTGCACACCAATATCTCTGTGTGTACATATACTACCCCCGATGCTGCACGTTTGGCGAGTTTCCCGCGTACACTGGCGGAGGGCCTTCCGTGCGAAGGTGGAGGTAGCCGCGCGTGGAGGAGGCTCGGAAGTCCTGCAGTTGGGCCTCGAGCTCCTGGATTTTCTGCTCCAGCCTGGGAGTAGATAGGGTCTTCTCTAAAGGGTGCTGTTACAGGGAAAGGTAGAAATACGGTAGGTTTTTGAAGGGTTTTCGGCTTGGGTAGGGTTTTGCAGGGGAGCCTCTGTTCGAGAAAGGGGTTTAGGTGAGGTTGAAAGCTAATCTTCTTGTGAAGCCTGCGACTCGGGATCTTATCACATAGGTCCCAAAAGGAAAAGCAAAGCCATCCAACAGACCTCAACTTAGGGTAGAGTGGGGACTTGGGCTCTTCGCGTTCAAATTGACCAGCTGGGAAGAGAGATCCCTGAGCCCTAAGCTGCTGAGAAGCCCTAACCTTTGAAGGTGCCTTCTTGCCGCCCCGGACACTTCTTCGCAGTGTCCAGCTGGTCTTTCGCATACTCTATCTCGTACTCCTCGGATGCGGGTTTGTGCCGTGTGGCTGATAGGGTCTACTTTAGGTCGCAAGTGGAATGCCTTTGGCATTCTCTGTTCCTAGCACCAACAGAAGCCTGATCTGCTCCTGCGCTAGTTATAGTGTGATATGATTTCTTACACTATTCCCATCAGTTCCCTGGGGTTTCGGGTAGCGCTGTGCCCAAACTCCGAGACCCCCCATCAGGCTCCTCTCGTGTCTTCGCGATCGACTGGATGAGGTGACCCAGAGAGTCTGCATGATCAACGAGGCAACGCATGGCCACCTGAGACATTTGGCTTTGGCAAACTTTAGCGGCTTTAGCGGTAGTGCCAAGCTGAAGGTCTATTCGGTGTCGCTGGGCGAGGACATGCTGGGTCGGCTACCCTGAGACAAAGCGAAGACACATCAACGAGGAAGCAAACGACGGCAAGAGGCAACGCCCCTCAGGACTTGCTAACAGACCCAGGCCACCAGATTAAGTGCTACACAGCAGTACCTGCGATGACTGCACCCTAAACTTGAAGCCCTAAGCCCCCAACCGTACACCCCAAACCCATCTGACGGCATTGCCAAGTCACCTGGAGGTCACAACACATCTGCGCCTGGTTCCGTGCCTCCGGCGTGATCTGAGGTTTGCAGAATAGTATTAGGGCTGCAGAGGTTACAAGGAGACACCAGGGCCGCAAAGGTCACAAGGAGACACCGGTCTAAACTTTCGTTCTAGAGCCCTAAGCGTACAAAGTACCAAGAAAGTACTGTAACTACCTACATCTACCTACCTAGGTTCAGGAGACTGGTAATGTCGTACTTGTCTTGAGAGAGGCATGACCATTGGAAACTGGGGACCTTCGAGCAACGGCTCTTGGATGGACATGATGAGAGTCAGAGTAAGCCCAAAGAACGTGGAAACACAGTAACCCTGGATCTCACTGTAGTTCACAAAGATGCCTAGATAAATTACCAAGATCGTTCCTGAGGGTTCCTGCATAAAAAACATACTGAAAAGGATTTAAGAGTTCAAGTTGTCGCGAGACTCTTCGATGCCAAACGATCCTAAAGCTCACACCTTCAACTAAACACCAGCCCCTGTAAAGAAATGCGCTACTGTAGCGGACACAGTGGCAGAAAGAGCTATATACGTACTTCAACAGTTCATAGACCCGGCAGCATACTCATTACAAAACCATACAACACTCAACTGACCAGAGTCCTAAATCCCTAAACCTGAGGTGCACCTTGAAAATGAACTCCACAGGCCCGCAACCTTAATCCGAACCAACACCCCCCTCAACCCTGAATATCGATGACGCAAAGCCCCTCACCCGTAATCTCTCAAAGCCGAAATCCCTAGCGACCTGAAGCCATCAACCCTCTATCCGTCCTAAGAGCACACACCCAGAACCTTACAACCTCAGACCTTAATTCAACATAGCTCCACCCCAAGGAATCGAACGTTCTTCAGCCTTAAGCCATGTACCCCAACACCCCTAAAGCAAAAAGCTACACTACATGCCGAAGCTTCAACCTTCAGCCGGGCGGCTCTGTAGGAAGCCACGAGCTCCAGAAGGACCTCCACCTCCGTCTTGCTTTTGCTACAGGGGTTAGGGCTTTTAGGGCTTCTTGGGGGTTCCGGGCATAAGCTCGCATCCTGGGTCCTATACGGGCTCTTTAAGGGCTCTACAGTGGGTGCTGGGCTTTGAGGTTTCAGGGTTTGAGGGTTGAGGGGTTTAGCACGTGGGGCCTACAAAGTTTAGCATCTGGGATCATTAAGGGTGCAGGTATGTTACGGCCTTGGTGTTTCCTTGTTGAGGGACTGCCCCCCCCTGGTGAGCGTAGCAACCCGACACAAACAGCCATTCCGCTGGAACCCTACAACAACCTGCAAGAACCGCATTTCATGCCAAATAAAACCTTTTGGAGCAGTAGAGGCCCCCCAACAAAACGCATGCGCACAAAACAGCAGTATCTTTGTAAGGAGATCCCTAAGCATTACAAGCCCGCCACCTTTGGCTTGTAACCCGGAAGCGCGGCTTCGCGCTCCGGCTCCTTGTCATGGCCTTTGCTCAACTGCTGCAGACATTGCGGTTTCTGAAGGCTTATAACTTGTGATGGGCTCGGGTTCATGACGACTGTCTTGGGTTCATTGCTCATCATGGTGAGAGTTATCATGGTCGACTCTCACAGGTTTCGGGATTCTGGTGGTTTGGGGTTCATGATGGCATGATGGTTTGAGGATCGCGATGGATAAGGGTTCTTGGCGGTTTGGGTCGGGATGATGACGCCTCTGGGTTCGTGACAGTTTAGAGTCATTTTGGTTAAGGTTCAAAATTCGTGATGATCTAGGGTTCGTGAGAGTTCCGGGTATTTGACGGCCTCAGGTGCTGCGATGGCCTAGAGTTCATGATTGTTGAAGTATTTTTGGTGATCTTGCGTTTATGCTGATAACGGTTCAGCTTGGGATTAAGTTCATGATGCTCTGGTGTTTAGGATGTAAGGCGGTTTCGAACTTCGGGTTGACCATGGATTTAGGGCCTGCTTCCGTATAAGCGAGGCCTGTTCGTGACGGCATGATTGGGACGTAGGCATTAAACAAATGGTCCAGAGTCTGCGAGTTTTGATGGCATTTTTCCCTCGCCCATCGCACGGCAAAGAAGCTTTGATGGCATAAGGTTGAGGGTTTCTTAACCAGTTGGTTTTCATGAATTCAAGGTCCTGGGTACTGAAGACCGCCCTTACCACTTGAGCATTTGCTCATGCTAATTATGCTACAAGCCTTAGCCCATAAAAAAGGCGCTTGTAGCAAAACTCCTTGTCATTCCATGTTATCGACCTGAAATGCTGCTGGCGAGGGTTGCATACAAGTGGCTGTTGACATCGGCAGTGAAAAGCCCACGATCTCTTTGAGGGGCCTTCTTCTTTCGCTCCTCCTGCTGAGAGGACTCCACCATTCTCTTAGAGCGAAGTTGTGATGGGGCATCGGGTGTAAAAGAAGGCTTGCGGTTCCACGAGTTTTTTTAGTTTAATGGTAGGGTTCCATCAAGCAGTCACTTCTCCACGCCAAAGGATATGGGCTCTCTTGGTTTGTGCCGGCGGCGCAATGGCCCCTTGCGGCCCCGAAACGCTCAAGTCTGCAGGAAGTGTCGCACTTTGTACGGGAATCGGTGCTGTTCACACGGCCGAGGATTGTCTTGCATACAACATGATGCAACCGGAGGGATGCCAAGCCATGCATTCCACTGGTTGCTGGCATTCCTGCTTCGCGGCCCCAAATCCCCGAAATGGGACTTTTGGGCTGGTGATCCCTGCCACCCAAAGCCCAGAAAACTCCACCACCGAAGCCGAAAAACCCAAAAGCCCGCGGTTGCCAGTCCTTTGAATTGCGATGCTCTTCAAACTGCTTCTGCAAGCGATCCAGGTTCTCCTGCAGGTCTGCCAAGGCACATTTATTCGTCCCCGCACCGACACCGAAAGCCTCATCAGCAATGTCTGCCCTAAACTCTGGCAGGGATCCTTGAGAAAGGTGTGTTAGTACCTCAGTTTCTGTGCAATGTAAACCTCTGAATAACTTCCTCTCCCTAGAAAGGATTATAGTTTTCCAAAAACTGTGGAGTTGTTAACCAGGGGTCTGCATGGATTACATACTTATATCATGCCTCAGAGCTCCTGAATACAATAGGTACCTCAATGCACTCCCGAAGCCCTATTCCAAGTGTTAAGGCCTCTATCAACAATCCCGACATGAACCCCCCAAAGACTTCAAAAAAGCCCAAAGTTTGAGGCTGCTACTCTTCAGGTCCGTCATAGGCAAACTGAAGCAGCTGACCCCTTACATGGGCCTTAATCAACGGAAGTGGGATGTTTTAGAGGTATAGTCTCTCGCATATTCTTACATGGACAAAGAAGGGACGCCCCCTGATTATCCCCAGTCCCGACTTCGGGTTCAAATCTTCCTTGTGAGTCTTTTCCAGAGAGACGGTTCGGGCTCGTTTGTCTGCGAGTGAGTGTTACAAGCAGAACCGTTGGGGGGTGGTTCATGGATGCCACAGGAGGAGGGCGCTATGGGAAAGAATTGCAATGGCCTCGGTGCTGGCGTGATCGTTTGCTGGTGCAGGTGCAAGTTATAATCTCTAAATTACGACTGAAACCGCCATCGCCAAAGGCAGACCCTAACTTGCAGAAGCTCCTCGGCAATTTCGCCATCTGATCCTCCTTCTTATCGGGTTCTTGCTATGGGTCTTACCATCTAGGGGGTTGAGAGCCAAGCGTGTCCTGAGCGAAAACCACGTGTGAGGACGCTGTGAGCCGATGCGCGAACTTGAAAGACTCCAATATGAAGGGTCCTGGGAGACAGTTCCAGAGTTCGGCTCAAGGGTTAGAACTGTGGTGCCTTCGACGATGCTGTTGTGGGCTGCGAGTCGGGACCCTAACATGCAAGCATTCAATTATTGTCGGAATTGAGTGTGAGCACTGTCCATGCCAGGACGAAACAATGGTCTAGGTTAAGGTTCTGATTCCAAAATCTGTGGAAATCGTTTTGCCTACCACGCTGGCGCAGCAGCTGCAACATGCCGGCAATGGCCTCGTTGGTCCAGTGAAGGTCGTTGACCATGTACTCTGCCCCAGATCTCCACGTTTTCACTTAAGTTTCTTTAAACCGAGTCTTCAGTATTGCCGTACGGTGATAAAGCGGAGATCTCACAGTTTGGCGCTGGATTTGGACCGATCAGGCCGTGTGGCTGTCCACGCCGCCCAGAGCTTCGTGCACCAGCAGCTTGCCTCGGGCAGTGGTGGATTGCTGATGATCATGGAGGGTTTAGGGCTTCGGGATGCCATTTGAATTGCATGATGGGTTGTAAAACTTACTTATTTCAGCCGTGGGTTGCATCCAGAGGGCCTAGCAACGCCAGGTAGCGCATGAGTCTCAGCCTTTCAGGTCCTTCATGAAACTGTGAGCCGACTTTTAAGCAGCAGTCCATGCAGGCATGTGCCAGGCACAAACTTCCCCCCTCACATTTACGGACCTTCTCTACTGGGCTTTGCTACTGTTACTATTGTCTTCCTGGACCGGCTGCTGTCCGTGGTTCTGATAATGAAAAATGTTACTACTGAGTTTGTTTCTGTTTTACTTGCAAAACGTGGTTCTCATAACAATCAGAAAGCTCTTCGACTCGACCACAGCCAGGTGGCTTCGAGCGCCGAGTAGGTGCTTCACAGCAGACAGCAAGAAGTCAGCACTCTGACCTGAAATCTTCAGATCAAAGCTCTGCCAAAAAAGAATCTTGGGCCTGAGGTACAGGCTCGTGAGGGCCGTGAGAATCCGTCTGAAGTCTGAACCGCAGTGATATCCGAATCGAAAGGAATTGCTGCACGGCAAAGTCGCGAGATCACGAAGAGCTTGTAAGAAGCTTCGTTCAGCATTGCGCATGCCGTCTGATCACCAGACACATCCCTGAAAGCCTGGTTGTGTCCAGCTTTTGAAGACTTGTGGAATTCCCTGGTCCCACAGTCAGACGTGAGGAGCCCTAAAGCTCAGAAAATCTCAAACCCTACGCAGCCAAGCCTCGAACAAATTGTACACTCAGTGCAATGCAAGCAGTGATTGGAATGATAAAAACCAGCCGCAAGCTACCATGTGCATGCGGAGGCTAACGATGCTCGCACAACAAGAACCACCACGATCACAAGAGCTGAATCGACCTTACATAAGAACAGAATCGATGTCAGTCAATGTATCAGCATTAGACATGGAAAGGGCCTGATTTTAGCTTCCTCCACTGAGTGGCCTAGAGCTCGTGCATAGTGGGCCACGTTGTCGCTCACATGTTTCCTCAGATGGAATGAGATCCCAAATTGAGGTTCCGGTTCCAAGGGTTGGACAGTGCAAAGGGGTCTGGTGTTGTCGCTGTTTCCTCGCGTTGAATACTTGTTCCCTCATGTTGTGCTTTATACAAACTGTATGCAAGCAGTTCTGGGCTGTGGTCGTCTACAGTACTGTACAAATGAAACCGCACAAACAAAAACACAAAACAAACACGATCCATGAGTCATGCCTCTTCATGGATACAGGGGTAGCGGTCATTACCCAAAGGCCCCAAAGTAGTTCCTTTTTGGGGCTCATATAAAGAATCCTATAAGGTAATCCCCAAAAGGAACTACTTTGGGGCCTTACCCAGAGCCTGAGGTCGGGAGGCTCAGGGTTCTTGTCAGGATCTCGGCACCCCCTCTCGGACATGCCAGGCGAGGTACCCTGGATTTAGGCAGGCAGAGCTTCAATAGAATACTGCAGAAGCTCAGTAAGTTTGTGTGTATACATATATATATATATATGTAGATGTATATTCATACATCTATATATATATATATATATATATATATATATATTAACGTTAAAATTATACAGAATCGCAGAAAGCTTTATGCAAGTTTGTACGTTTCGAAGGGTTGCGAGTCCGGCGGCACCATTCTGGAACGCTCATCTTTGATCTTTGATTCTCCGAGAAAACAAGCAATGACCCCGTAAAGCACCCCTTTTGCGGGGGGGGGGGGACACCCTGCGGGGAGCAAGCCGCAACAGGAAGGGTCAGCAGGTGGAAAGACATTGATTCATCCCACGACTTTGCTTCGACCCTTACTAGTATAGTATTGAAGCTTATTTCTGCTCCGCCCTCTTACCAACTGGATGGCGCTAGGAAAAAATCTAAGCAGTTGCCAGCAGACTGTCTGAAAAACCCGGTTGAATCCACGGATGTGAGACCCCTGGAAGCTTCAACCGCCGAAGTTTTTTCACACAGCCTCGGTGAAAGTGTAGTCGGGCAATAGTGGGGATCGTATTATGTATCGGGTTTAGGTTAGAGCATCCGGGATCTCATAATGGGGATGTGCCCTTGTCTGTAGGGTTCCCCAGCACTTTCGACAAGCATCAGGGCATCGTAGGCGTCAATAGATTCTGCGCGGCAAAACACATTCACATGCACAAGCACTGGCACGCAGCAGCAACGACATCAATTCGAACGAGCCTGGTGCGATTTCTTTCCCAAGTGCATCCTGCGAAGGATCAGGTCTCAATGACTCAACAGTTCCGCCCATAGCCGCAAGCTGCCCACGGCACCCGACAAACAAATCTCCACAGTTTGTGCACTGCAAGCTCCAGGACAAAAGTGAAGCTTTTCGACAACCCAGGGAAGCTATCGGAAGAATCATCAACCCAAACCCACAAACCCTGAAGAACGGGGCTTTTGGCTCCCACATGGCGTGTCAGTTGCAGGTGTCGTTGGCTTTTGAAACTGGTGTCTGTCCATACTGTCTCCTCCAAGCTTAGAAACTTGGGGTGTCTGGTACAGCATCCTCAACGTTTTTACACAGGTTCTACGAGAGTTGTAGGAGGTTCGATGGGGTTTGGGGCCGGGTCGTTCAGGGGTTTAGACTTCGAGGTCTATAGGGTTCAAGGCACAACAGCAACACGAGATGCTTCATGAGGTCCGGCTGACCAAAGGAACCGGGGTTGGGGTTTGGGGCTGTTTTGCTTCAAAGTGAACACAAAGCAAATGAACCTTAACGGGTAGCACTACCAATTATTCCGGCTTCCATGTTTTGTTCAACCCCTTGTCTTGAACTCGTGTTGTGTGACTGCGTGACAGGGTAATGCCCTCTGCCGCTTCAGACAGTAGAAGACGCCGACTCCAACGTTGAACCCCCAAGCCCAGGAGCCCCACCCGGTCCTGTTGCCAAGGAATCTGTTTCCTGAGGGCTGCTTTGTACAGAGGCCGAAGTGCGAAGGTCAGGTTGCACAGAATTCGCCTGAGCAAGCCAACGTCGCTTCTGAGGCTTAGTGCAGGCACTGGGTCCTTAGGACCTTAGGGTGTTGGGGTATTGGCATTCATGTCTGGCTTACAGTTCAAGGTCTCGGGTCCAGGATTTATGGTCTGGGGAAACATCGGTCCGCACTGATATTGCCAGACTTTGGAAATCCTAAATCCAAGGCCTCATGCCTTTCTGCATCTCAAGCAGTAAACGCGAAACCTTGAACCCTACCTATGCTATGTGTGTATATACATACATATATATATATGTATATATATATATATATATATATATATATATGTATTATATATATATATATACACATGTATCATGAACTCGACGTCACGTTTACCCCACATGCCTGAATCTCGACGCTTAAACTAGACCCTCAGCCACTGATAGCCTCCCAAAGCTTGCAAAAGCTGGTCACTCCTTGCGACTCGATACTTTACATAAGAGCCTTATAATGATTAGGAAGAATTTGGGGGAGAATCGAGCGATATGTGGCGACAGCTAGACGGTTCACAAACAAGTGCATTCGTGTGTATAGACGGATATTTAGATAACCAGCATTTATGTATGCATGTCTGTATGTGCACACGCACACACGTGCTTATACATAAACAAATAAATAAATAACAACACATGTATATATGTAATACATATATATTTACATATATATATATATATATGTAGACATCTAACTCTCTATGAGTGATATGCTACTCATGCGAACAGGTGCGAGGAAGACCTGGCTTTGCGGCTTGCTTCCTCCAAGCTCTGTGCCTCAGATAGTCCGAGTTGTTCAGCTCTAGCGGAAAGTCCTGTCATGCTTTGGTTTTGGGGCTTAGGGTTGCTCTAGTACTGTGACCTTGGAGATTGAGTTCATCACGGACCCCTTTACAACAGAAAACCTTTGGAAAATGGGGTCCGCACTGTACCGAGCAAATGGGGACCATTAACTTTCTGCCTCACAGCCCCCATTTCAGAGCTGCGGCCTCCTCTCTCGACACTGAGACCCCGAATCGCAAAACATCGAGCCCACTTGGTCTCTGTCCAAGGCGGTTTAGGGGTTCAGGGTCCAGAGTTTAGGATTCCCTGTTAAGAGTTTAAGGACCCAAAACCCTGAAGCAGAGAACTAGCTTACCAAGTTTGCCACTCGCTGGGTTCATGCATCCTGGCCCAATCTTTTAGTCGAACCCCCCAAAGGCCATGCGTGACGAGGCACCGCTCAACTCTACTTTCAAGTCAGCTCAGCTGACGATCCGCTACGATTAAAGGTTTTGGGTGTTCCGCGTGCAGCTTGACGCGCTTATGATTGTTTGTGTGTGTCGTCAATTATATGGCAAGATGGGTGCCGAACCATCTTGTCTGTGTGTGTGTGAACTTGTGTGTCGGCTTCCTTGCCCATTCCTTGCCGTCAGTCTCAGCCGTTCATGCTGGCTGCGGGCGGAAACCCTAAACCTAAGCCTTGCGGGTCCAGACTGACGCATAAATCCAAGTCAGAGTCCTGAAAGGTAGCATCCCCGTATTGAAAGTCTATGTTCGGGTATGGTTTTTGAGTTCTTGAATCTAGGCGTCTCCTTTCGGCGTCCTACCCAATTTGCACTCTATATACGGGCCACGGGCATCCTGTTGTCTGAAACCCCCCTGTTGTCCCCCGACACCGGTGTCCAGGACGTAGAAAGCGCCAGGGCTGTCGCCAGTCTTGATTATCGCAGAAGCCATCGGCGAAAATTTAATTGGGGGTTAGGTTTGGTAGGCCTTAGACTTTCTAGAGCGTCTCCATCTGAAACTTTTGCGTCCATTGATCCTAAACCCCAAACCCTTGTGCGAGGACCACAGAATGAAGGATGCCCCAGGATCGTGCGCGATGTGGGAGTTTCGGACAATCAGGGGCCAGCAACTTTGACCCTTAGTAGTCGGGTTCTTGCTGCTTTTTTGAACTGTTGCCGTTGTTACTATTAATATAACTTTCTTATTTTCGCTACTCCCGTTAGCATTTCTCTTGCCGTTACCATTAAGAGGACAAGATTGCGATTTTCCTGATGATGTTCATTAACGTATATGTGGACCTCTAAGTTTAAGCAGCCACTGTTGATGCAAAGCCGGCGGCTGAATTCTGAGCCCAAGGATGTCGCGGTCGGGAAAGCGGACAGATCCCGAAAGCCTGACACTCCTGAAACCCTAAACCCTAAGATTCTAAGGACCCTCTTAACCCTTTTCAGCATGGAGCTGCTTACCCTAAACCCTATAAGCCCTAAGGACCGCCAAAACGAGCTAACGCAGGTCTAGGTATGTCGATCCTCACACTCGCACACAGCTGCCTGGGGTCCACGCACGCCCTCTTCTGGGTGTTTCGACTCGGGGCTATTTCAGGCTTCGGGGGGTGTAGAATTTGTGGGTTTGGGGCCGAGATTGTGGTAGCGGCAGGACCTACACTTGCACTGTCACACAACCAAAACATAACCCGGTGGCAAGTAATATAATAACTCTGTAAAAACAACCTACGAACTAAGTCCCACTCGGTCCCTCAGCACACGCTTAATTACAAGGGTACCCTTTTTCCAATCATTCAGTCCTGATCGGGAGATTACCAAAACGTGTGAACAGGCACCACTGTTGGGGAGCGTTGAAACTCTAAACCCTTCAAAACACCACTGGCACCCATGTTTTTTCGACGGCCCAGGAAGCCTTCTAGCAGATCCAGGACAAACAACGGACGAAGTTGTTCTAAGTTGCATTTCAGGATTCCTTTTGCCGTATCTGGTTGCGGCAGACGAGACTGTTGTGAAAGGAGCTCCACATGAATCGCAATAAATGGTTTCGAGCATCCCGCCCTGATGCATGTTTTTCAAGTCGTCAGCATCTACCCGGCTCAAATGCAGCCTGTGGTTGCTGCAAGTCGGCAAGACTTCTTGTTAAGGAACATACCTTGAGATGTAATTCTGGGGCAAGATACTACGTAACTAACTATCACAGATCCCAGCTGTTACTGAAAAACAACGTTCCAGGACAAGGTCCCAGAAGATGTGAACAGGCAAACCGGACTTGCTCACTCGGCCCGTTGTAGCTCCTCTGGTTTCCTTGGTCGGCGTGGCCAATGAACACCAGGTCCGCTTGGGCTGGAGGGGCCGTAAGTATTAAAGCTTCTTTGTTCATCTTTGATAATCACTGCAATAATAATTACTACAATAATAGAAAATAAAAATAAAGATCTAAACCCAAAATCTTCACTCGCAACCCTCACAGTGCGAGTCGCCATGTCCCCCGGAAATGGTGCTGGACGAGCGGGCTGCCAGGGTCATCACCGCTGCTGTATCCAGGGCTCGATACCCGGCCTGAAGCCAAGACCCACATGCTCCAATTCCTGGGTTCTGGCTTGGGAACTTAAGTCCGGAAAACACCAGGCGGAGACAGCTCAAAGTTTACATGCTATCCCGATTGTCGTAACCCGCGCATAATACCCGGTTAGTTCCCCAAAACGAGCAGAGATTCCCACGTGTGTACAGGCTTTCGCTGGGAAAGAGACGCCCAGAGCTGGCACTTCGTCCGGCGATCAAGTTGGAAAGAGCATCCTGAGCTGACGTCCATGGGCATGCGCCATGCAGGCCGAACACAAACATCTGCAGACGTATGTAAGTAGGCATGTGCATGTGTGTGTGTGCACTCTTTACGGATACACTATTGTAGCACTGCATGTCCTACTGATGTGTCACACAGAACAAAAATGACATAATTGCACAAGAGTGCTGGACATGTATACGTACACACATACCTATACATACATGGAACATCATACTGCAAACATATACCAGAACTCGAAACTTGACCCTCAAGCGAAGCAGCTGGCGAGTGCGTCAGCAAGAACTCGTGCACGGCATCTGTGAAAGTGGCGGGCCCCGTCAGCTCTTCTGTGGACCTGGGCTTGGGGGTAGACTTGAGCCTTGAAGACCTTTTTGGGCACAGGAACCAGATAATCAATGACGCTAGTAGAAAACCTAAGTAGCTGGATCATGACTGGAAGGACCCTACTCTGGTCACAAGGACTGGGCTATGCGATGGCATAGCGAGCGAAACAAAGCAAAGACCGCAAGCAGACACTCCTCCTAATCATTCCGAAGTATTCAACAATACCCCACATTGCCACAGAGGGACTCGATCCTCCAGCCGAACTTCTGTCGAATCAACTCCAAACAGCGACGCAGCACCTGAATCAGAATGGGGCTCTTGCAAGGGTTCCATAATGAGGGTTGTAGGTCAAGGGTATGGTACGGGTGCCTTAATGACTAGACTAAGGTTGGGGTTGCATAAGTATAGAGTCTAGAGAGAACGCCAGAAAGTTGGAACATGGATTTATGATGATTGGTGCCGGGCTTCCCTAAACTTTACCTTAGGAGCATGAGGAACAAGATGTTCCAACTTTCTGTCTTCGACTGTAGGACAACGACAACGAGAAGCACTACGGAACGATCTTGGCAACTAATTGGTGATTCTCAGAGCGGCCTGTTGACAACCTGGACAAACATTGCAAGAGCAACGGGCAAAGCAGAACCCTGAACCCGAAACCTTGTAGAACCCGTATTGAGCCCTTCTCTTCTGCCCTGCAACGGCAAGCCAAATTCAGGTTTTGAAGGTCCTTATAAAAGAAACCGTAACCATTAACAACAAAATGCAAAACTCTAGAAGGATACCCGACCACAGTAAAGCCTTGGGAGCCCGTACTGTCACCCTGCAGCTCAAGAGCAGGATTTCGAGGTGCAGATGCAAAGAACCACTGCTCGAACTGGTCCGTGCGTGAGAAGTGCACGCTGTCACGCTCGCCTTCTGTGAGGTGGCGCCCAGTTTCGTAGCCCACGATCCTGGACTGGCTGAAGGCTTTCAGTTTACGCTCTCACAACTCGGACAAGCCAGTCGAGGATCCATACGTGCAGGTCGGCTTAGAGTTTAGGGTTTTTCAGCCCTCACAACTGGGACAAGCCTGGCGAAGTTACGAGTGGGCTAAGGAGGCTCGTTGGTCAATTAGGGCTTAGGGTTATTGTATAGGGCTATCTCGGATCTCGCATCCAAACAGTTTTGGACCTAGCACATGAACACGGAAAAGTGGCAAACCGGCCAGGGCAGCCGAAGAGCATGTCAGTTTCGTTTGGAAGCGGCATGTCCGAAATAGGCACAACGCATGACACATCGATGTCAGCGTAGTAACCACCATGAACCCACAGCACAAGGTAGCGGAATGCGTCAGCCCGTTCAACTGGCAAAAGGCCCTGCCAAATAGGCCAGATCAAATCAGGAGAAGTGCTCTGAACCAGCGCAGCTACTTCAGTGTCGTTCCAAAGCTTGTGTTCGCAGGTCGGGTTCTTGTCGCTCCAGGTGGCAAACCACTCCCTCGATTTGTTATCGAGTCGGTGCGTCTTCCATGTCTGATGGATCCTGGGCTTCTGTTTGGGTTTAGGGCTTATGGGCTCCATTTCAAAACTCTACAGAAAGATGGGAGGCCAAAAAGGGTGGTTTAAGATTGGACTCAACTCCTTAACATGAACCCTATTATGGGAACCCGAATCCCTACTAAACCCCCAGAGGCTAAACCCCGTTTGGCCTCCTATGACAGAAATAACACGATGGATCCTTAAGTTCTTCACAAGGAACACGCAGGGAATTTGGGCAGGTCCCACATGACCCTGCCGGCTTCGGGCAAGTCTGGAAGCCCCAGTCTGCAGCAAGGAGGGGCACTTGTGGCCCGGTCTCTGTGCCCGAACCTGGGACTCTTCGTGGTTGGGTCCGTTGAAAAATTAGAGCTTCGGTTCCATCCTTATAGGGCATACTGGACTAAGATTGTGATTGAGAATGTCCAAGGGCGGCCTAGACACTAGAGCAAGTAAAAATAGTGGCCAGGACCGCATCACTCCATGGCACCAACGGAACAGGAGGATAAGTTCGATCTCAGAATTGCTGCGGGGAACCTCTTGGCATGAACGTCTAGGACAGCAGCCGTCGTCGTCGTCCTCGATGTGGTTATGCTCGTCATAGTCGTGGTGGTGGTGGTGGTGGTGGTGGTGGTGGTGGTAGTGGTGGTCGGTGGTGGTAGTGGTGCCCGTTGTAGTTGGGAGCTGGCTCACCGCCGCAGCGTTGACAAACGAATCGCAGACGTCTCCGAAACATCGGAACTGGCCAGACAATTCACAACGGTCTTTGCCAACAGCAGAGGCTGCCGCAGTTTTTCCATCTAACGCGAAGATTCCAAGGCTTCGGGCGTGGTGTCCCATCTGAACGGGAAAATGCTGTCCTTGCCTCCGGCTACCAGGAATGCCCGCATGCGGTGGAACGTGCAGAAAGAGACTTAATCATTTCCCGATCAGCTTGGATACCTGAACTGGCTCAGGGTGTTACCCAGTAACCCATAAGTCAGGTAGCTGGATCCCTAGGGATCGGCTATGACGATCAGTCTTCAGCAGCGCCCGGGCTCCCAGATCGCTGCCAAGGCAAGCACGCAGGTAGCCGATCGTCTGAAACTGACCCTGTGTAGTACGCCGTAGAATAACCCCGAACAGCGGCTATGATTCTGCTTTCTTCGAATGTAGTGGCATGCAACGCCACGATTTACGGAAAAGAGGATGGCAAGCACGAGGAGCTTCTACTAGCTGATACCAATTCCTGCTGTTAGACAAAACTAGCCTATAAAGCAATGATGGCCTGGAATTCGATACTAGCACAGTCGGGCTACGGAAAGCAAAGGTCCCCGTGAAGCAGCTGGAAAACAGCGGGGCCTTCAATATGATGATCTCGGTCAAACCCTTGTAGCAACCCCAACAAATCCTGTGAGCGAAGTGATGGCTCATTAACCGAACGAGAAGTTCGGGACGCCGAAAAACACAGCCCCGACAGCAGGAGCCAAAAGAGCATCCTTTTGACGATAAGACCTTGCTGTAATCCTGTGGCCATATTTAGAATCCTATTAGGCAATCCCAACAAGGAACTACTGTGGAGCCTACCTATGAATATCTAAACGATCCGGGCAGCCATTCTGACCTTAGCGGCCTGCTGGGTGCGTCCGTGGAGATGCTTCAGAAGCGACTTCTTGCAGCCACAAGGAGAAGCTGTAACCTGTTGTTGCTGTTGCTGTTCTTCTGGGTCTTCTTGTTGGCATGACTGTTCTTCCTGTATTGCGAACAGAGGACCATTGCGAGCACAAACCTGAGGGCGCCTGTCAGAGACTTCGATATTGCGACCCAGAAGCTTCAAACCTTAAAAACTCCAAGTGCCAAAACCCGAAAGACTGTACAATCCCTGAAGACTCACATTGAAAAGCGGCGTAGGTTCACAGGGCATCCCGAGAGGTTTGCGAAGTCAGCAAAGATTCGTGAGTTAGTCACTTGACTAGTCGACTTGCCCAACTTAACCGCTCTATTCTATGGTCTGTAAAACGACAGCAGACGCCTCAACACAGAACCCCTCCTATTGGACCCCGATAAACACCCTATGCAACCGCCAGGCACCCCATACCCTTCATGAACCCGGAAAGCCACAGAAATCCAGAAGCGTATTACAGCGAACAACGGCAAGCCTGAAGCTCTAAACAACCTAAACCAAAGAACCCGAAAACCCCGGAGGCTGTGAAACCAAAACCCTAGGCCTAAACTCTGAAAGCATGCAGCCTAAGCGCTAAGAGCTTGAAAGGCTTCCGATGCAAGTTTTTCATCTCCACATAGGCAGACGGCAACGCCAGGTTAGCTGTGACGAGGGCTTGCGGATTAAGGGTTAGCGTGTTTTTATAGGTCTTTTCCTGCCCAGGTTTTGCGGTTTCGGCGCTCACTAACCGAGCGTTTAGGATTCAGTGACTAAGTTTTTAAAGCTCTGGGGTCTAACTTGGGTGGATCCCGGTTTGACGTTGGAGAGTTTACCAGGGAGGACATCATCGGGGATAGTGTGTTTTCGGGGTACTTCTATCAGGGTTCAGAGAAGGCTGGACCTATAGTCTCCATTGTAGCTCCTTTTTTGGGTTAACCAAATTCTCTATTATAGGATCCTAACCATAAAACTGGTTAACAAAAAAAAGGAACTACAATGGAGACTATAGGTACATTCTATGTTAAGCTTCATTTCTTACATTGGGCAGCCGCGTGGTCCTTATCTTCAGGGCACTTCTACCATCTGGGTCCTTTGTTAAGGGCCCCTATTTTTGAAACAGGTGCGGATGCATACGTGCTGGAAGCGGAGCATAGTATGGGGGCTTCATAATAGCAGAGGCTTGTTAGTCTATAAAAAACCCTTAATTAGAGATTCTGATGGGATACTTTGAATCTTGCTAGTTACTCGGACATTGAAAGTAATTAGTGCCATCATCACCATCTGCTCGAAACCTCGGCGAACTAAGCAGTCGGGACTGCATTGCTGGCTCCGACTGAAGGCCTTTTGAGTGTGGAAAATGCCTGCGAAACGCAACGCCAAGGAGGACCTCAGAACTCTCTGCACCCCTACACCCGAAACATCCCCGAACTCGAAGCTTCAGGACCCTATAAACCCGAAACCCAAAGATCCCTAGACCCTACGCTTCAGGACCCTTAAAAGCCTGTAGCCCCCCGTTTCATGGCTGCGCTCACGCACTGACGACCGAAGCTCTCCGAGCCTCTCGCAGCGAAGGAGCCTGATATAGGGGCCTTAGCAGCTATACACCTGTTGTGCGGAACACTGTTGGAATACATATTTCGGCTCCTATTCGGAAAAGAACATCCAGCTCAGGTGAAACACTCTCAGCAGTCCCCAGAGACTCGCACCCTCTTTAATTTAGCCCTTTCGTCCTTCAACGCTTATTCCAAAGTTGAGGGGTTTGGGAGCCTTTGTTGTGCCATTGTAGTGTCTAACACGCACGAAAAAACGACGTGATTGAATGAGCTGCGAGTCTCTGGGTCTGAGATAAATTCGGAATTAACCAATGCTACGCACGATGGCAAGATTGGTCTTCGACCGTCGTAAGACAGATAATCCTAAACCCCTCTTTGGGGTTTCGGGTTTCGGAGAGCACTTTCATCAACTGGAGCGGCCGGAACGGTGCAGGGTTGTCGATACAGGCTAGCCTCAAGCCCTACACGGAACTTTGTGGAAGACAGATCATACCTATAGTCTCCATTGTAGTCCCTTTTTTGGTTTAACCAATTATATATTAAGGATCCTATAAGGTAACTCAAAAAAGGAACTACAATGGAGACTATAGGTAGATTACAAAGAACGAACTTGCGCGCAGTAGCTGCTAGCAGAAGACTTCAGCCTAGCCCCTTCACAAAGGTAAGCTGAACGGTCGACTCATCAACCCCATACCCTGCATCAAGCTTCCTAATAATACATTCATACCAAAAGTCCTGATAATACCAATGAGAATCAATGATGATCGGCTCTGTCACCACCCGTCTTCATACCCATCGCCATGACCACGCTATATAGTTAAAGTCATAGCGGTTGATAACAAAGTCATACTAAGCTGACGTCTCAGCTCCCATAGTCATTCGGCTTGCATCCGCCCCCACCCCACCCCGCCCGACCCAAGGATTGTACTCGAAGAACTGATGCCACCAAGGAAATCCGTCGGAAACACCGGAACTCTTCGGGAAGCTCTAATCCAGGCATCAAGGGTGGAACTTTAGCAAAGTTGGAGACTGGCTCCACTAAAACATCCTAAAACGCTTCAAGGCCCCAATATCTGAACCTTTTTTCCTAAACACGAAACAAACCCGGATTCAATAGGGTTTCAGGGACGTCTTGCATAAGCTTCTCAGGCACTCTTCGAAAGCCCGATGCGCGCGTAGCTGGCGCATGACTGATCTTGATCACATCCTGCCTTGGGGGTTTGAAGGTTTCGGTCCCGACGGGTTTTTGGTGTTCCGGTGTAAAACTTTACAGGAAGAGGCCTGGCATGGACTTCCGCGATGCTCCAGCAGCAGGAACTCGCAGGCGGTTTTGCTGCTTCAGGCATCCATGCGTCAGTCTTTGGTGCAGGGATTCAGGGATGTGGGCTTTGAGCGATTCGGGCTATTTGGATAGATAAGATGACAACGCGCGATATTCCTTCGGTATAGGCTGGAATCGCAGTTCTGCTGCAGATGCAGATACGCTGCCGGATGTCTGCCAACGACAGTCAGCTGCCTTCCCAGACCCCCTAAACCATCCTTTGTCTCTCAGATAGCCACGGTCAATGACCATATGGATGGCATTAAAGTCTACTTGGGGGTCCAGATTTTGACCGCTTACAGCAGCAATCAGGAAGCTATTCAGTCATATGAAGCAGACATCTGCTTCAGCCAGATCTGCGATCGCTGCCAGGACTCCTGGGAGAGCATTGCACTCGTGCAGGGGCTTTAATGATCCAAACGTTTTCGTTTAGGGATCCGGAGGTTTTATGGTAGTTTTACATACAAACAGACTCATAAACACACATAAGTATGCACATGCATACACATGTACTTATACTTGTACTTGTGTTTGTACCTATACATACACATGCATAGACATAGGCAGACTCATGCAAATACATATGCGTCTCGACATTTACATACATACACATGAACTGCACATGTCTACATAAGTCTGTGTAAATCTTCACACACACACACATATATATATATAAATATATATAGTTATAATATATATATATATATATATATATATATATATATATATTGGTATGTATACCGTCGTGATTCTGAATCCTACGTGTGTGTCTATCATCAAGTCGAAGAACTTGACATGTAAAGGCCATATGCAGACGTGACGTCCTCTAGAACCATCGCTTTGGACCGAATAACACGCTAAGACGCTGGGGATTTGATCAGAAGAATTAGCTTGATGTTTGGGTATTTTCTCTTGCTGGCTGATCACAAGTCCTGCTCCATGTATGGAGTGGCGCATGGTTGCATTCATGTTCTAATAGTTACACGCTTCCGGTGCGGCCACGCCCTTCGGAGAGCATTCATTTCGGCAAGGATTCTTGCGCAACGTTGAAGACCACCAGTACATCACACGAACTATTGAAACTCTGAAGACGAGGCGGAGAAACTTTGCGGCGTCTCTCTCTCTCTCTCTCTCTACGTGCGTGCCACAACAGGTCCAGGCCAGTGCCGCGTCATGGTGACTTTGTCCATTTTGGTCGCGGTCGTTGTGATTGTTGTGGTTGTTGAGATGGTTGTGGGCGTCATTCTTGTCGTGGTGCTCTTGCACAGTTTCGGGATCTATGATGGCATTACAGAGTGTTAGGCTGCACGGTTCTAGTCTGGGTTCCAGGAATGTAAGGCTTTGGTGCAACTCTGAATGGCGGTTGGCTGCCAGCCCTCACAGAGGGTTTCGGCGCTCACACTCGGACAATCCAGGCGAGGCATGTGGTTCGGAGTCGTACAAAGTGAGACATCTCTAAGAGGGAGCATCAGAAACTATCACAACTTGAGGGTTTGAGGATTAGCATTATTGAGTTGGACCTCCCGCAACTCGGACAACCCAGATGAGGTCTCACAGTAGTCGGCTTATAGGGTTTCAGGGTTGGGTTTTGGCGATTGCTTCCTTGCTTGCTTGCCACAAACGTGTTTCAAAGCAGCAAACACTGACAAAAAAACACGCAACAAAAACACATTGAGCAAAGTACTCCACCTTCCAAAAGTACAGCACATCATGTCACTAGTGTGGCTGGAAAATGGATGCATGTTGCATGCATGGATAGTTGACATTCTTAGGGGGTGAAGTGTTTGGAATTCCAACCATGCACCTCTATAGGCCCTAAACCCCTCTACACCCTAGACACAAGCCACTAAACCCAAAGTGCGGACCCTGACCCCTTCAACCAAGGAGTTGAGAGAGCAACAGCCCTGTGTGACAATTTCCGGACCCAAGCCAGGTCTTGGTCTCATACGTTGACGGCATACTGTAATCTACAGTTGTGTGATGGCTTTTGACAGAATTACCGTGCCTCATCTTATCTAAGCGAATTTTTAGTTGGGGTGGCCCATCCTCTGTGACTCCCATCTCTTGAGCCCTGAAGAGTTGGCCCGTGATTTTTCTGGCTGAGGACCGCGACTAAACACATCCCAAAGACTCCAGCATGCGCAGAACAAGAGTGGCCTAGCGGAAACCCAGTCCGTCCCAACCCTTATCTATTGCACTGGCTCTATGAACCTTGATCGAAAATGAGTCCAGCTCTGCCAGTCACCATTGCGAGACTAATCGAAGGCATCCTCAGAAGCCCCCCGTCCTGCAACCTCTAAAAACTCTTCCCCAAGCTACGCTCCTTGTTGTGCTGCCAGAAGAGATGGGGCCTTGCAAAGTATGGCTTCCGGCGCTCTTGATGCATACGCAAACGCTTCATATTTGTACGCAAGCCTGTCTTGGTGTACACACCACACACACACACACACATATATATATATATATATATATATATATATTATACATACACACATGTACATATATGCCTGGGCAAAGACGTACATGCACATACATACATGGATGTGTAATGTGTATGTATGGGCACAATCAGATAATCACATGCAGATATCATCACACAAAGGACATAAGTACACACGTGAACAACAAACAATGATCGGTTCTAGTCGACCGGCCCATGGAAGGCAAGATAATAGACGGCAACACATTAACTCTACTAGCAGTTACTAGCGCCCTCCCCGGAGACTAGCGATGTTTTGCCACGCTAAACCCAAACTCAGGACAGGTAAGAGCTACCCAGTGGCCAAAGCATTTACGGTTTACAGACGAAGCCATGCAGTTGGTGCACAACTTGCTGCAATGGTCACGCCTAGGCTTTGGAATTTTGACAACAACCTCACAGCAAAAGCCGACTCCCACGATGAACAACTAAGCAATCACACAGCCTTGTTGTCCCAAACTACAGGGTACCAGAGATTTCAAAACCTTTGCAAAGTGGCCAGCAAGGGAGAGGCGAGGTCAAGCGGCGTCTTCCCCCTGCAGAAAGGAGATCGCTTAGGTTTACGGGTAGGGATCCAAACAGTAGCTGATTATAACTCACCAGACATGATGTAATGACTCTGACACTCGCCTCCATCTCGGACGCTTTGTCGAGTCTAACACAACATTTGTTGCCATAACGTTGAAAGTGCGACGACTGACGAAGCTTTGAACCCATTTTGCTGTCGGCATCACAGAGTCCTCTGCAGACAAACGACCCTTATGTTTTGTGGGGCATATCATGGCAGGCCGTAGTCACCAGCAATAGCACCTAATGGTTGCAGTGGTGGTTGCGGTGGTAGCAGTGGCAGCCGCTTTTATTTATATAGCACTACCAGTGGCAGAAACAGTGGCGGCAGCAGGACGAGCAGGAGCAGCAGCAGTATGGGTAGTAGTCGTAGTAGTAGTAGTAGTCGTCGTCGTCGTTGTCGTCGTCGTAGTAGTAGTAGCAGTAGCAGTAGCAGTAGCAATAGCAGTAGCAGTAGGAGTAGTAGTAGTAGTAGTAGTAGTAGTAGTAGTAGTAGTAGTAGTAGTTGGTAGTGGTAGCGGTAGTAGTGGTAGTAGTGTAGTGGTAGCAGTGGTAGCAGTGGTAGTAGTGGTAGCAGTTAGTGGTAGAAGTCGTGGTAGTTGCTGTCGTCGTGGTGGTTTTTGTAGTAGTAGCAATAGTAACAAGACAAATCAAAGATCTATCAGTATAGTCGTGCTGCTCCCAGAATGCTGTCTTCACTGGCGCATCAAAACAAGCTGATTGGTCCTGCACATCCTGTTCCATGGCATCATTGGGCATGTACCAAGTTTACTAAGAGGCGCTCACACGCGTCCAACACACCAGAAGGTCTCAAAACAACTGCTTTGGCTTGTGGCGTCCTACAGCGACTACACCCTCATCCCAGACATACGTCTCGCTCCAGCCTTTTGTTGGGAATGTCCGGCTGCGCTCGTGCTGCAAGTAGAAGCTGCGCGGCCTTTTCATCGCTTTCTGGGTTTAGGGGTTAAAGACTCCAATGCCTTCAAGAAACAAGCTTGGGTCCACCATCATTTAAGCTGTATACAAGTCAAGTATTATGTATTGGGTTCTTTGGGAGGTATTTTAGGCTCAGGGCTGCGGCTGCCAATCGCAACTCCAAGGCTCTTAACTGCATGGATGCCGCAAAAGGGACTCTACTTTTCTTAAACCCTCACGTTCTCCTTTTGTAGGGTTGAGGCTTCATGTTTCTCCACGTGCAGAGCTAGGGTTTCATTGAGTCGGTTTAAGTTTATTTTTCCCCCTCGCATGTGCTGGAAATCTATGCCCGCTCGCGAGGTCTAACATGTGAAGGATACATGAGATTGCAGCAATCAGCATTCGTGATGCTACTGTGTGTGACTGGGGCATTTCAACCCTCATGATTCGCCACTGTTACATGTGCAATGGCCTGACGCATGCAGAACTCACCAACAACATCACTTGCAGCTATAAAAGAGTGCTACCAAAATGGTCAACGCACTAATTGGGCCTCGCTCATTTGGTTAACCAATACTCAACTGTTCATTGCCTGCCGAGACATTATAAGGTTTAGGTATTGAAACTTAGGATTCAGCTTGCATGGTAATGGTGGAATAGTAGGCAACACACGACACAAAGAGAGCCGACCCGAAACACAACGGAAGGTTCACCCGACGCAGAACCTCCAGGTTTTCAGTGATCACGCTGAAGAGCAGGGGAGTGGCGCCCTGTGCGTGGTACCTGAGGCTGAAAACCCTCACCAGTGGGTTTAGGTTTAGGGTTTAATTAGGGTTTAGATCCACATTCACATTCCCTCTAAGGTAGTCCTGCATACCAAGGATAACCAAGATTTCGATTCGGTCAGTATATGTCAGTATACTATCACATTTCCGGTGCAGCCGACGAGGTTCGAACAAAGACTCGTCTACCGTAACGTTACGAGGCTCCCCAACTCTGGGCTTCTATGCAACAACAAGAAGATCAACAGTGCCGGGGCAAAGCCCCCACACTCCCAACCTGTGCAACACAATAGTAAGAAAGGAAGCAACTACACACAAAAACTCAGGGCTGCGTCAAGGAAAGGGCAGAAAGACATGCTCTGCGAAGATATGAACTGCTGGTTTGTCATATCTTCTGCAAGGGAAACTGAAAGGACTACCACTACAATGACGACTCATCTATTGGTGCTGCTATCATTGTAGCTATATTCTGCAAAGCCGGCATCGCTGCGTGGCGGACACCTACAATATAGCTCTATAGTGAACCCCCGCAAGCAGAATTCTGAGTCTGTCAACCCATGCGAGCAAGTAAAGCCGGTGGGATAGGAGACTTCTGCTCAACTGCAGGAAGCATACTTGATGTCTTGGTCTTGACTTTACTGTCGCAGGTCGTGCAAGGTTTGTGAGGCAGGGTGTCGCGTGTGGTCGGGCTGCATTTGTCGAGTCTTTTGCCTTTCTGGCTACCAGAATGCGCGCTTAGAGGGGGGGGTCCCCCGTGTGCGGCTTAAATGGGGTATTATCGCCAGCTGAAACTGTGGGTTTTCACGCCTATAGTATTTAATATAGACAGGCAGATGGCGATTATATCCTGGGTCTGTTCGGTGGATGGTCCCGGGCCCGAATTAAATAATTTAAATAATTTAAATAATTTAAGTCCTGGGGAGGGGGTCTGGGGGGGGTTCCGGGGCCCCGGGACCCTCCCCCAGGATTTAAATTATTTACATTATTTAAATTATTTAAATTATTTAATTGGGGCCGGGAATTAAATAATTTAAAATAATTTAAATAATTTAAATAATTTAAATCCTGGGGAGGGGGTCTGGGGGGGTTCCGGGGCCCCGGGACCCTCCCCCAGGATTTAAATTATTTAAATTATTTAAATTATTTAAATTATTTAATTGGGGCCGGGAATTAAATAATTTAAATAATTTAAATCCGGGGGCCTCCCCCATATTTAAATTATTTAAATTATTTAATTGGGCCCGGGAATTTAAATAATTTAAATAATTTAAATAATTTAAATCCTGGGGAGGGGGTCTGGGGGGGGTTCCGGGGCCCCGGGACCCTCCCCCAGGATTTAAATTATTTAAATTATTTAAATTATTTAATTGGGGCCGGGAATTAAATAATTTAAAATAATTTAAATAATTTAAATAATTTAAATCCTGGGGAGGGGGTCTGGGGGGGTTCCGGGGCCCCGGGACCCTCCCCCAGGATTTAAATTATTTAAATTATTTAAATTATTTAAATTATTAAATTTTAATTGGGGCCGGGAATTTAAATAATTTAAATAATTTAAATCCTGGGGAGGGGGTCTGGGGGGGGTTCCGGGGCCCCGGGACCCTCCCCCAGGATTTAAATTATTTAAATTATTTAAATTATTTAATTGGGGCCGGGAATTAAAAAATTTAAATAATTTAAATTAATTTAAATTATTTAAATTATTTAATTTTAAATAATTTAAATAATTTAAATAATTTAAATAATTTAAATAATTTAAATCCTGGGGAGGGGGTCTGGGGGGGGTTCCGGGGCCCCGGGACCCTCCCCCAGGATTTAAATTATTTAAATTATTTAAATTATTTAAATGGCCGGGAATCAAATAATTTAAATTATTTAAATAATTTAAATCCTGGGGAGGGGGTCTGGGGGGGGTTCCGGGGCCCCGGGACCCTCCCCCAGGATTTAAATTATTTAAATTATTTAAACTATTTAAATTATTTAATTGGGGCCGGGGATTTAAATAATTTAAATAATTTAAATCCTGGGGAGGGGGTCTGGGGGGGGTTCCGGGGCCCCGGGACCCTCCCCCAGGATTTAAATTATTTAAATTATTTAAATTATTTAATTGGGGCCGGGAATTAAATAATTTAAATAAATTTAAATCCTGGGGAGGGGGTCTGGGGGGGGTTCCGGGGCCCCGGGACCCTCCCCCAGGATTTAAATTATTTAAATTATTTAAATTATTTAAATTATTTAAATTATTTAATTGGGGCCGGGAATTAAATAATTTAAATAATTTAAATAATTTAAATATTTTAAATCCTGGGGGAGGGGGTGTGGGCGGGGTCCGGGGCAGGGAGTTAAATAATTTAAATATGGGGGAACCCCCTGGATTTAAATTAATTAATTCCGGGGGTCCCGGCCCTTTTCCAGGATTTAAATTATTTAAATTACTTAAATGGGGCCGGGAAGTAAAACCCCACCTACCCTCCCTCACCCATCCCTGCCACCCACCGACCCTCAGCGCCCACCCAGCGTCCCAACCCCCACCCCCCCTTTCTCCCACTTCACACTCCCTCCACCTGCTGCCCACCCTACCTCCCAAACACCCTCCCACCACCCTCTCACCCACCACTTCAAGGGCTAGGGATCCCACACATCTGCGGGCAAAATCTGGCGGAAGTGATCCGCCACCGAGCAAAAAGCCTGTAAACCAACAGATGTGCGAAATCCGTGGCCCTTTGTTTAATGCGGTATTTACAGGCTTTTTGCTCGGTGGCGGATCACTTCCGCCAGATTTTGCCCGCAGATGTGTGGGGTCCCTGGCCGTTGTTTTAACGCGGTATTTACAGGCTTTCTGCTCGGTCGCGGCTCGCAGGGATTAGGGGACACCCCTTGCGATTTGTGATTTTGGAACTTATTTGTTATAACAACCTTTAGGGGGAACACCACGACTTGCGATCTGTGATTTTGGGATCTGAGTTCTTACACACCTTCCCTCCACCTCCTGCCCACCCTACCTCCCAAACACCCTCCCACAACCCTCTCACCCACCACTTCAAGGGCTAGGGATCCCACACATCTGCGGGCAAAATCTGGCGGAAGTGATCCGCCACCGAGCAAAAAGCCTGTAAATACCGCATTAAAGACAGGGCCAGGGATTTCGCACATCTGTTGGCAAAATCTGGCGGAAGTGAGCAGTCGGTACTTCCGCCAAAATTTGCCAACAGATGTGCGAAATCCCTGGCCCTTTGTTTAATGCGATATTTACAGGCTTTTTGCTCGGTGGCTGATCACTTCCGCCAGATTTTGCCCGCAGATGTGTGGGATCCCTGGCCGTTGTTTTAACGCGGTATTTACAGGCTTTCTGCTCGGTCGCGGCTCGCAGGGATTAGGGGGACACCCCTTGCGCTCTTCGGTTTTCTGATCTGAGTTTTCACAAGACCTTAGGGGGACACCCCTTGCGATCTGTGATTTTGTGATCTGAGTTCTTACACAACCTTCCCTCCACCTCCTGCCCACCCTACCTCCCAAACACCCTCCCACCACCCTCTCACCCACCACTTCAAGGGCTAGGGATCCCACACATCTGCGGGCAAAATCTGGCGGAAGTGATCCGCCACCGAGCAAAAAGCCTGTCAATACCGCATTAAACAAAGGGCCAGGGATTTCGCACATCTGTTGGCAAAATCTGGCGGAAGTGAGCAGTCGGTACTTCCGCCAGAATTTGCCAACAGATGTGCGAAATCCGTGGCCCTTTGTTTAATGCGGTATTTACAGGCTTTTGGCTCGGTGGCGGATCACTTCCGCCAGATTTTGCCCGCAGATGTGTGGGATCCCTGGCCGTAGTTTTAACGCGGTATTTACAGGCTTTCTGCTCGCAGGGATTAGGAGGACACCCCTTGCGATTTGTGATTTTGGAACTTATTTGTTATAACAACCTTTAGGGGGACACCACTTGCGATCTGTGGTTTTCGGTTCTGAGTTTTCACAAAACCTTAGGGAGACACCCCTTGCGATCTGTGATTTCGGGATCTGAGTTCTTACAAAACCTTGGGGGGGACACCCCTTGCGATTTGTGGCGTTGGAATTCATTTGTTATAAAAAGCTTTAGGGAAACACCCCTTGCGATTTATTGTTTTGGAACTTGTTGTTTCAACGAACCCTTAGGGGGATATCCCTTGCGATCTGGGTTTTTGGGATCTGAGTCTGTACAAATCTTGGGGCGACACCCTTGTGAGCTGTGATTTTATCTGTGTTTTTGCAGAACTTCAAGGAAAAAGATTTCTTGCCGACGCAGGGGTAGATGGAGCTCTCTTGTCTTTGGTGAAGTTGAAGGGGCCTGTCTGCTGTGCTGAGATGGACCTCTCTCCCGTCTCATTACATGGGAGGAAGCTCTCAATCATTTCTTGTGGAGGATGAAGTAGAAGACTTTTCTTTTTGGAAGCAAGGGGAGCCCTGGCTTCTCTTGCTAGGAGCGAAGTCTCTTCAATCTTCTTAAGATAAAAGCGACTTACCAAGAGGTAAAGTCTATCTCTGCTCAAATAAAGCTCTCGTCGCTTACCAAAATATCTTGGAGTGAGTTCTCTTCCTGCTTCACAGCAGGGTAAGGTAGAGGGCTTGGGCTTCTCGTTTCGTTTTGAAGGCCACGGGGAGGACTGGCTTTTCTCTTGTCAAAGTTTGAAATTTGGAAAAGCTCTATCCTTCCTTCCTGATCGTAAGCTCCCTTCCAAGTTTTTTTCTCGAGGAGGAGATGTTCAGGAGCTGTCGCTCCTGACGAACAGAGAAAGAAGTTTTCTTCTTATCGCCAGAGAGGCAGTCGGAGCTCCCTTCTTTCTCGTGATGCGTTGTTCTTTTGCCACGAACAACCTTTGGGGACTGTTTTCTTGCTTTGGAGCATGAGGTCTTTTCTTTTGAAGGCTGGCGACTGAGAAAGGTATAAGAAATCTCCTCTAGAGAAATCTGCTCTTGCCAAGAATAACTAGGAATGAGAACGCTCTGTCCTCACCTCTTGAGAGA